GGGCCTGAAACCTGACTGATAAGGGTCCAGATAATCTGTTTCCTCCAGAACCCTTTGGAGCCGTGATGCCACCACTTTCTCAACCACCTTCCCCAAAGGGGGAAGGTGGGAGACTGGACAAAAATTGTCCAGTATGGTAGGATCCAGGGAGGGCCTATTCAGGAGGTGCTGCACCAATGCCTCTTTAAAGGGCGCTGGAAACACTCTCTCCTGCAAGGATGTATTAACTATCGCCTGGATCCAACCGCATGGTATATGCTCCTTTGCTGTGGGAATTGCATATAGTACAACTGCATTCAATTTAAATCAACACATACATACACAAAAATACAAAGTGTAAAAATACACATGAATTAATTAAACCCAAACAATTAAAAAAAATGTTCTTGTGAAAAAGATGCATCCATCCACTTGTATGGGAAAAAGTAAACTCCTGATATCAGGGCATGTTTCCCAGGACTGCAAAACTAGGTGGAGGTCAGCGCGTTCAGAGTCGCTGGTTAAAGCTTGGAAACTCGCTGAGTGACTTTGCCCCCGCCCCAACCTTTCAGCCCGGGGTATCTCAGATCGTGGTGGGGATAACTTTGGAAGAATGATTAAACTGCGGCTCCTGGAAGAACTGGGGGCCGTCCTTATTTTTCCTGAGATACTTGTTCTCCCCCTCGTAAGGCTCCTCCAATGAACTCGACGGCCCCACAGACTTTCGCCACTGCCGCAGGCACTTTGCGAGCACAAATCCGAAAGACTTAACGGCCCCGGGGGGTACCACCCTCCGCGGGGGAACTTTTCTTTGGGTCTCGCGGCTGGGGGGCGGCACGCGAGCGGGCGGGAGCTTCTCTTTTCCACACGTTTTCCACAGCGGGAGCGGCCTTCCCGCTCCAACGCCCCCGATCCTCCTATCCCCGCTCCCGCTCGCCGGCAACCCTTCGAACAGCTCACCATATAGAGCATGTTGGAGGCAGAGGGGCTGACTCCGCTGCGGAAGCGGTTGTGGATGTCGATGTATTGCTTGATAAAGGTCCTGTTGGTGATTGCGGGCAAGGGCGGAAATTTACCTCCCGCTTCTCCAAGGAGGAGACTCACCAGCCCCGCCACACCCCACCACCAGAGGCTCCTCATGGCCGCGGCAACGGCGACTTGGCGGGAGGTTGCGCGCGCATCGATGGTTCGCCTCCTGCGGCCGCCGCCGCGGGACTTCGTACCCCGGCGCCCGGGATGTTCTGGAGGGAGACGCGCTGGTTGCCGGTCCGTCGAGTCTCGCAAAAGCTGGGGGAAACGATTGCTTCAGCCGGCGGCGCCCTCCTCCTCTCGGTTAGGATTGATAGCTCTAAACTGCTATCCCATAACGTTTATTTGGGAGTAAACTTCATTGAACCCTATGGGGTTTATTTCTCAGAATACCCTGGATTCCACTTCGTTCAGTTTTTAATCCTATGTATGCTTAGCCAGTAGTCCTATTAAATCTCCTGGAAAGAGCTCAGTGGCATTTTCTCTCAGATGCATGAACATACTATTTTTTATTAGTGGAAGTCATGTTTGGAGAGATGGGAGTTTGTTTGTTTTTTAAATACATCCTTTTCTGTCTTGAAAAGTTTTCCAGGATCCGTCTGATCTGCCAGATGCAGGTCTACTCAGTGTTAATAATTTATCTGCCTTCCATTCTTGTCTTCTCATCTGCTGTGTGAGAGAGGCATTATTTCTGCTTCGGCCTGTAAAATGTGCTGTTTAGACCTCCATATATGCATGAATATGCATGTCATATTGAAACAAATCTCCTAAGTTGCTGCTGGAAGTCAGAGGACATTTTCAAATTAAGGGCAGGACTGATGATGGGCAGTAGTAATACAAACTGACTGGTGAGATACTATCCACATTATAAATGCTCTGCATACACATACTCTATAAATGTCAGAGAAATGCCATAGATGTTTAGTGATTTCCTTCCAAGGAAAGTCATCCTCCTTGTCTAGGATACCTATATCAAGAAAAGTCACTCTAAGGCATAGGATGCACACAACTGGCTGGATAACATCAGCTGAATATGCTGATTGGGTTTCAGTTAAATAATACAAAATGAGAATCATAATAATCTAGAAGTAATAACATAGCAATTTAACTGACAATAAATAGGAAATTCTGTATGTTAACACTCTTACTATAAAAATGATATGTGAAAGTGATGGCACTGTGTGAATGTGTTAATTCACACAGGGCCATCACCACATACTACAGTATAGGCCTTCTTTCCATACAGTTGAGGTCAGGAAACATCAGGGCAGTTAACCTTACATCTATTATATCAAACAATCTGTAAAAAAAAAAAATTCACTATAATTAGACATAAGGTTATATTTCTCTAAATCTGCAGAGCAGAATCTGACTGAAACAATGTCAGAGTTAGTTTTTTTTTTTTTCCCCCCTCAGTTTTATCCAGTGGCGTTATTCTGAGAGATATCTATTGGCCCTCAGAGAAATGGAACTCTCAATTATCAAGTGTTAATATTTTGCAAGACACTTGGAAGATAAATTACCTTGCATCCGTCTGAGGTTTTAGATCTCCATAGCTATTGCAGTTCAATTAATGGAAATGTTGCAAGTGTACTTTTGTTCTATTTTATAGGATGAGTTTTAATTACTGAAGTCTTAGGGCTTCAATAAGGGTGAGCAATCCACAATCCCACC